CTTCTTATTTTTGGAATTGAATTTAAGATTGTTCGTTAACCTTGTCACACGCTCAGCTACACTGGCCTGCTGCAATTCCATGCAATCTGAAGTTAAGGAAAATACAGTGTTTCTTCTCTACAAATTCAGACTTTTGTTCACATTCTTTATACTTTAGATGAGCTCTGTTCCTTAGGAGACAATAGATACTCTGTGATTTTCAAAGCACAACACAGAGGTATTGATTTGGGCCATTTCGGCAAATGTGCTGTAGCCTGAGCTCGGTACTGTCCTGGAAGACACATGAAGAGGCAGAAGTTGGCATGATCACATCATAGGTACATACAAGAAGAGGATTGAGCGGTCACAGCATAGTCCGTGAAACTTCTTACTGTTAGCCAAGTCCTCTGTTCTCAGCCTGGTGTAGGCACTGGGAGAAATGCGGAAAGAACAACAGTCTCTGAGGAATCTCACTGTGCACATAAATAACACAGTATAAGGCCCTGAGCGTGCTAGTAGAGATTGTAGTAAACTCAGCAGGGTGAAATGGAAGAAACAACTCAGAGAAGATTCTAGAAATTCTACAGAGCAATAGGCACTAAAGCTATAGTCTGAACAGTAGATAGATCAAGTCTTTGCTAGAATGGGTTTTGTGGAAACACAACAAACTCCGTTCTAGATGTGAAGTGTCCCAGTTGCTTCTGGAGTCGATTAGTCAGGCTTCTTTAGAGTAACAAAACTCAGAGAATGAACCTCTCCCTCCCTCTCTCTTTACGTGTGTGTGTGTGTGTGTGTGTGTGTGTGTGTGTGTGTGTGTGTGTGTACATATGGAACTTATTAGAGTGGCCTGAAGGCCGTGGTCCAGCTAATCCAACAGCGGCTGCCTGCGGATGGAAGGTCCAAAAGCACAGTAGCTCTTCAGTCCATCCAGCCTCGTGGACAGCTCAGCTGGTCTGCAGTAGACGCTGGAATCCTGAAGAAGTGGGCTCTAATGCCAGTGAAGGGATGGGTTTGGCAGCAGGACAAGAGCAAGCAGGCAAAGCAAGATCTTCCTTCTTCCATGTCCTCATAAAGGCTTCCCGCAGAAAGCATGGCCCAGATTAATCTGGGTTAAAGACATGTCTTCCCACCTCAAAGATCCAGACTAGAAGTCGATCTTCACACTTCAAATTAAGCAAAAGTGCCTCACAGGAGTGCCCCACCATTTTTGGGTTTTAGAATATTCCAGATGTGGTCAAGTTGACCGCCAAGAACAGCCATCACATGAGGCAAGGGAGACTTTGCAGTGCCTTCTGAGTTGGGAGGTACCTGGTTCTGCCTGAAGGGAAGGGACCTATCATAATCATCTCCATGTTGTTCTTATTGCTGGTTTTTGTTTTTTAGGGTGCTGGGATGAACCCAGGGTCTTGAACCCTTTAGGCAAGCCCTGTACATCTATGTTTTCAAGAATGCCCAGTGGCTAATTTAATGATGAACTTCTAAAACTTATCTCTTAGAGGTTTTGTTACAGCATCTTCTGTGATGTGGGATCTGCGGGGGGGGGGGGGGGGGGGGGGGGGGGAACAGGCCAGTAGTCACGGGCTGCAGTGTGCTCCTACAATTGGGCAGCTCAATTTCCAGGCATATGTGACTTCGGGGGGAGGGGAGCTCTTCCTAGCAGAAATTTGGACATGAGAGTTTATTTTTCTCCAGCACAACCCTACCCAGCATGCCCCTCCTTCCTCAGACGACTTATTTTCCAGGACAGGAACATAACACCTCCTCCAAGGTATGTCAGCTTCTTAAAAAGGGCCCGTTTGTGAGGACTTGTCAGAGCTTCAGTTACAACGTCATTATTGGGGAGGCACCAAGACCGCACGTAGCGCATAGCTAGGCTGAGTTCATGTTTACCTAACACCTTCAATACCAGTAGATCCCAGCTAGCTTACCTGCCTGTGCCAGCACACGGGGGGGAATAAGCGAAGACAACACTTTACTTCAACACCCCCGCGGCGGGCGCTGGAGAAATGAACTATCAAGATGCCAGCAGTTTGGAGGATGGGAGGGAATTGGTCTTGAGTCAAGACCTACTTCTTCTTTTTTTAAATTGAATTTTCCTGCTTTCAGTTGTGATCAAATTTATAGAACTTAGAATTTTCACTTTAAAGCCTACAGTTCTGTGGCATTTGTGTTTCCAATATTATGAACCCCTGCCAGACTTTCAGAACATGTCCATCTCCCTAGAAACTCATCACACTTGAAACATTCATTCTATCCCCTCCCCCCACACACACACACACACGCTCTGTGGTCACTGGCTGCTTCAACTTGTAGTTTTCTGTTTTCACACATTTGCCTAGTCTGGAAATTTTGTATGTTCATGCCCAGTCTTTGGGACCAGGTATGTTTTTAAAGTATGTGCGTGTGTATTGTGGACCATGGCTGAATTCCTCTATATTACACAACATAATAGTCCTTGTATGAGTTCCTAGGGAGATGCCACATTTTGTTCATTAATTCATCTGTTGATGAATATTTGATTTTCACCCCTTCATGTCTGTGAATAATGTTGGCATGGGTGTTGGTATGCAGGGATCTTCTGATTCCAGTCTCAGTTAGTATGAGTGTTTCTAGGAGTAGAGCATCTGTATCTAGGGGTAGAGCATCTGCATCTAGGGGTAGAGCATCTGCATCTAGGGGTAGAGCATCTGTATCTAGGAGGGGAGCATCTGTATCTAGGGGTAGAGCATCTGCATCTAGGAGTGGAGCATCTGCATCTAGGGGTAGAGTGGCTCAGTGATATCATTGATTCAGGCTAACTTCCAAGGGACCATCTTGTAGTTCCACTAGTGATATAAGAGGGTTCCAGTTTCTCCACACCTTCTCCAACCCTCATCCTTTCCTGAGAGTTTGTTTTGGTTGTTTCCATCGCCATACTCGTGGGTGTGAAATGGTGTCTCATTGTGTTTTGATTAGCATTTTCCCAGTCATGAATATGTTGGACACCTTTGCATGTGCTGGCTGACCAGTGTGCATCTTCATTGTACAAAAATGTATTCAAGTCCTTTGTTCATGCTTCAGTTGCATTATTCATCATTTTGCTGTTCATTCGTAAGAGTTACTTATGTATTCTAGATGCCAGGTCCTTATCAGATATGATTAATTAGCAATTAATTAGCAAGTGTTCCTTGGAGCGTGAATAATAAAAACCAGAGACAGAAATTGGGGCTCACCCCGAAAACCAAAGCAAAGTAGCCAAGCCACTAGAAAACTCTTACTTCTACTAAGGCTGGGTGACCGCAGACTGAGCAGCCCAAGCCTTTCTCTCCTTACATTTTATATTCCCTCTAGTGCTGGGATTAAAGGCATATGACTCCATAGTACTGGGATTAAAGGTGTAGGCTGCCACCACCACCTGGATTTGCTTCTGCATTGATCTTGTGTAGTCCAGGGTGTTGGGAGCCCAGACCCTGAAACAATCACACAGAAACCGTATTATTTTCAATACTGCTTGACCAATAGCTTAAGCATATTTCTAGCTAGCTCTTATATCTTTGCTTAACCCATTTCATTATTTTATATTTTACCATGAGGCTCATGGCCTACCAGTGAGGTTCTAACTGGCAGCTCACGCTTGCTCCTCTGGCGGCACCTTGGCTTCTCACTGATCCACCTCCTATCTTCCTGCATTCAGTTTAGTTTTCCTATCTAGCTCTATTCTGCTAAGCCACTGACTGAAACAGATTTATTCATTAACCATAAAAGCAACACATAGATAGAAGGACTTCCCCCACCACCAGGGTAACCTCCGTCTGCCTCTATCTCTCAAATCCTGGGATTAAAGGTGTGTGTCTCCATTGCCTGACCTCTAGTGGCTTTAGCTTTGCCTCTGGTCTTTAGGCAAGATTAATTTATTAAAATGCAAATAATATACCACTTTAGTTTCTCCCATTTTGTAGTTTCCTCTTGCTCCTTTGTAAGGTCCTTTGATGTATTTTAACTTTTCTTAAAGTTTTAAAGTTTCGTGTGTGAGTGTGTGACTGCTGTGTGTATGTGCGCCACATTTATGCGTAGTGTCCAAGGCCATCACATCCCTTGGAACTGCAGTTATGGATGATTGTGAGCCATCATGTGACCTGGCATGTCGATTACATAAGAAACAACTATGACTTAGCAGCAAAAAGATAAACAGTCCAGCAGAAACACAAATATGAATGAATGAATTGGACCCTCGGTCCTCCGCAAGAGCAGCAAGTGCTCTTGACCATTGAGCCATCTCTCCAGCCCCACTTGTTTTGGGTTTTTGTTTGTTTTATTTTGCTTTGTTTAGAGTGAATCTTGCTACCTATTTGCCCAGGCTAGCCTCAAATTCCTGGGTAGATGTGATGCTCGGGTCTCGGGCTCCGAGTCGCTGAAGCTACAGGTGTGCACCACTGTGCCCAGTTTAAAGTTCTTAATTTTATGAAGTCAATTCTAGCCTTTACTGTTTGGGTACATGCAGGGGCTGTGATCTGCACAGGCATCCTCAGGCTCCAAACTCTTAGGGTGCTTGAGCTTTCGGCAAACAGCAGTGGGGGTGGTGGACTTGTCTTCTCGGAATTCCAGCTGCTTCGACCAAGTGCCTCAGAAAGGACGAACGCCTCTCTGTCCTGAGCTCTGAATCTAAGCCAGAAATGTCCAAAGGGCTGATGTCTGCTGCTTCCCCGTGTCTTCTGCCTGGGTACTCACATGGACTTCCCCGTGTGTGTGTGTCTGACTCATGATCGCCTTTCCATCTGTATGTCATTTTACCGTACGACAGGTCCACTCTCCAAGTCCATAACCATTCTGGGGTTGGCTTTAACATGGAGAGAGAGGTGGAGGGAGGAGATAGATATGGTCCTGGCATGAAAGAGCATACATACTGCCAGGTGCCTCTAAAGCAGGAACGAACCTTCTGATACAGGAGGCCACGATACTCCTTCACTCAGTCTGAGACTGTCTGGATCCCTCAGAGAGGTGTTGGGGTGATCTGGCCCCTGACCTTCTTTGTTCTCTTGCAGGATGAACGAGCGTGACCGTCTGATCAAGAGACTTAGCAGGAAGACACCCCCGACCCTCTTCCGAGCAGGCTCCATCCAGCAGTGTGTCACCCGTAAGTGACAGTGGGTAGCAGTGGGTGGCAGACGGCAGGGGGAGTGAGGCAGACAGGCCAGGGATGGCTGCCACACCTGATAGAGTGAGAATGCTTTCTGCGAACTGAAGGTCGGGGCTCACAAAGAGCGCACTGATGGTCTGCTGGGCAGCTCCGCTGAGCTCTGCCTGCCAACAGGGACATTCTCAGTGGGCAGAGAAGGATGGTATTATGTTACCCACCAGCCCTCCGCTCCTCCCTATTTCCCACGGCCCAAGGAGGGTGTAGCAAAGCCCAGAGGGCACAAAATCAGAGGCTCAAGCAGAGAGCACCCATATACAACAGCTCGTGGTGCTGTGTTGTGGCTTCTAGGTCATCGTCATGGGCTCTGGGTACAGCCATGCTGAAGGGGTGAGGTAGAAGTCAAGGCATGAGAATTGATGGGATTCTCCAAGCACAGCAGTCTGTAGGAGTGCCCTCTGGACTCTCACTACAGGGGTTCCCTCTGAACTCACACTGCAGGGGTCCTCTCTGAACTCACATTGCAGGGGTCCCCCTCTGGACTCATACTGCAGGGGTCCTCTCTGAACTCACATTGCAGGGGTTCCCCTCTGGAGTCTCACTGCAGGGGTCCCCTCTGGAGTCTCACTGCAGGGGTCCCCTCTGGAGTCTCACTACAGGGGTCCCCTCTGGACTTACACTGCAGGGGTCCCCTCTGGAGTCTCACTGCAGGGGTCCCCTCTGAACTTACACTGCAGGGGTCCCCTCTGGACTCACTCTGCAGGGGTCCCCTCTGGAGTCTCACTACAGGGGTCCCTTCTAAACTCACACTGCAGGGGTCCCCTCTGGACTCACAACACTGGGTTCCTGTCTGGCCACTTTTCCTCTCTGTGTAGGCATGTGTAAAATGGGAACAATGTGAGAACCCAGCTGGGGTTGTTGGGAAGGTAAAATGAGATCATATATACAGTGCTCTAGAGGAGTGCTGGACCTAAAGAGTTCAGCAGATGCTAGATATTGTGGTTATTGTTCAGTTAGCTGAGTAGCTCTGAACAGTGTATGTATTTCTCAAAGTGTCAACTTTTTCCTCTGGAAAAAGAGAATAGTATTGTATGGCATCCTTACACATTATCACAGGAAGTATATACAGCCTTTAGGATGGATAAATTCACACTATGGACCACGCTGCTTTCCTAACAAATGTCTCAGAGTAATCACAGAAAGAATATGTGCAGCCAGACCAGGGGACTGAGGCAGGAGGATGACAAGTTCAAAGGTGCATGAGCTACAACATGAGTTCAAGGCCAGCCTGGGCAACTCAGCGGGATCCTGCCTCAGAAAGTGAAATAAGGACAGGAGACAGGGCTCACTGACAGACCTCGTACTCAGCATGCACAAGGCCAAGGCTCATGTTTCAGTATCAAAACAATTACATATGTTCTCATACGTCTAAAGGAAAGCTAGAACTCTTAAATGACCTCATGGTTTCCTTAAGTCAACACTTGAAAGTCAAAATTTAAAAAGTCTACTAAACAAATGCAAGAAATAAGACAGCTTCTAAAATCATACCACATTACCACATTGATTTCAAGCTTTAGTGGAGGGCTGGAGAGATGGGTCAGCAGTTAGGAACACTAGCTACTCTTCCAGAAGACCCACGTTCAATACTTAGCGCTCACATAGTAGCTCAAAACCATCTGTGACTCCAGGCCCAGAGAATATGATATCTTATTCTGGTCTCTGCAGGCACACAGGGTACACAGACATATATTTAGACACACACACTCATACACAAAAAATAAAAATAAATAAAATCCTGACAAAACTTTAAACCCTCAACGAGTAGTACTGGAGCCTGTTAAACAGCTTAGAATGCTCCTGCCGTTCCCGACAAGACTTTCAGGTGCCCAGAGCTAGCTCTGGATCTCAGAAGGCCTGTGTAATGCCTTGACAATTCCCCTCCAACTGTCGTACTGCCCCAGACCCCAGCCTCCCGGAAACCTGAGAGACTGTGATCTTCAGTGCTCTGCTGTCAACATGGTTTGCAGAAGGGACAGAACTTAAGTCAGAATCTTTAGCAATGGTTAGGGTTAGGGTCACTCATCAGGGCGGAGCCCTCATAACTGAATCCTGCGACTATATGGGGGGCGAGGGATAGAGAGACAGAGACCGGAAGTCATGTGCACATCCCTGTTTCTTGCCATGTGATGTCCTATGCTACCTTGGGACCCTGCCAACATACACATCAGTAGATATGGTCCGTTAACCTCTAACTTCCAAATCTGTGAGATGAAATAAATTTTCTTTATAAGGTTCTCAGCTTTGAATGTTCCATTGTAGTGATGAAAACTAGAAAATTACAGCTCTCATTACCAGCCGGTGTGCAGCACTAATGATTGAGATCAGTATTTCTTACACAGTCTGAATTTCCTCATCAGCACCATGGTTTGCATCACCTCTGAAGTAATACTTTCGTTAAACTACTATCAGATTTCAGGATCAAGGAAATGGAGAGTAAGAATTTTATTCTAAAATGGGGGGAGGGGGGAATGACTTGACTTTGTCGACTTGACTTTCACCAAATGTTCTACCCCAACAAAACAAAACAACTAAAGAAATAAAACACATACCTCTCCATCGCTGCCCCTCCCATGAGCCCTTCATAGATTCTGGTGGGATCTAGGGGCAGGAGCCAGGGAGGTATTGAAATAGGAGCGGCGGGGCTGCATCCCCAGCACCCCGGCCGCCTGCTAGCTCATGCCCGAAATAACAACACACAAATTGTATTCTTTTAAACACTGCTTGCCCATTATATCTATCCTCTTCTCGGCTAACTCTCGCACCTGGACTAGCCCATTTCTAATAATGTGTGTAAGCACCCCAAGGTGCGCTTACCAGGAAGATTCTAGCCTACGTCCATCTTGAGTCGGAGCTTCATCGTGTGTGTCTCTGAAAGCAGAGCTATATCGTATCTGTCTGAGGAGTCTTACCTCACTTCCTCTTCCTCCTGTTTACTCCTCCCACCTATGTTTTAACCTATCAGGGCAAGCAGTTTCTTTATTTAATTAACCAATGAAATCAACAGATTGATATGTGACACTCCCACATCAGGGAGGTTCCCAAGTTGGATCAGGAAATGCTTCCTCTAGGTCCCAAGCTCCCCACCAAGACGTCCTATGATGAACTCAAGTGGGAAATACAGAGAGTTGGGGTTTCCCCTGACTCCCCATAGGGGTGCAAATACCAGATAAATGTTCTCCAAATTAATCTAGAAAGAAACCCTGTTTCCTGGCCAGGCTTTAGGGTCGGCAGGTGGAGTCAGTGAGTGACCCCGAGACCTATGTTTTCGCTGGACATGTGCCAGCCTAACTCCCAGCAGACCTGGTTTCTGCCTAGGAAAACCTTACCCTTCCTAGGATAAATCTATCAACACATTGTTCTCCCTGCCTCCCTCCTTCCCTCCCTTCCTCCTTTCCTTCCTTTGCATTCAAGAGGGGACCAGAACCTTACACCAGGCAAGCCCTCTGCCATTGATCAAGAGTGCCAGAGCTCTTTTCACTTCCCATTGAGATGATTCTCAATCTGTTGCCCCACCTAGCTTTGAACTTACTATCCTTCCGCCTCAAGAAGGCCATTTGGTCACACTCTACTCACCTGAGAACAGGTCAGAATGAGAAAGAATAATTGCCTGTCTCTCAGAAGTGAAGCCTAGAAACCCTCACACAGAGTTAACTGAGGCAGCCCCTTACCAGCCTCTGTAGCCATGAAATTAAGACTCTTCCAGTGTTGGGTGTCCAAAACAACACCCCTAACTAGTCTTTATTATTCATTTACTTATGTTTTGGTTACTTATGTTTGTGTTAACCCTAATTATATTTATGTCTTAACATTCATTCACTCACAACCTTCATCCATAACCCCCTATCTTAGTTAGGGTTTCTATTACTGTGATGAGACACTGTGACCAAAATGCAAGTGGAAGAGGAAAGGGTTTATTTGGCTTACACCCCAGCATTGCTGTTCATTACTGAAGGAAGTCAAGGACAGGAGCTCAAACAGGGCAAGAACCTGGAGGAGGGAGCTAATGCAGAGGCCATGGTGGGGAGCTGCTTACTGACTTGCTTCCCATGACTTGCTCAGCACCACCTGCTTATAGAACCCAAGACCAGCAGCCCAGGGATAGCACCACCCACCATGGGCTGGGCCCTCCCCCATTGATCACTAATTAAGAAAATGCCTTACAGCTGGGTCTCATGGAGGCATTTCCTCAACTGGAGGCTCCTTCCTCTCTGACGACTCTTAGCTTGTGTCAAGTTGACACACAAAACCAGTCAGTACACCCCCCTACACACACACACACACACACACATACACACACAAACACAGATACACACAGAGACATAAAAAGTTTAGCAGTTTTCGAGGTGAAGCATCCTGGAGCCCTCAGAAAGAACTGGAGCTATTAGAGGTAGGACTTGCCTTGTCCCAGGCCATTTCATCTTACAGAGAAGCAAAGCCAAACCCAGACAGCTTCACCAGTCCAAGGTTACAAAGCCTAGTAACGGTCAAGCAAGGACAAGAAGTTCCCTTTTGTGCCCCCGGTACTCCAGCCATCTGGTCACCATCCAGGATAGATGCCCAGCCCACTGAGAATGCCATCTTCTTAGAGGAAGCACAGTAGTCCTCTCCCCTCTTGCCTCATTCCTAGACTCTCTCTAGAAAGCCTGCCCTTTACCACAATAGCTTCTTTTAGACTGAAGGGTCTCCCCGGTGGGTTGCAGCAGTCACAGCCATTCCCGCAGTACATCCAGGGACAGCTGTGGGGACCTGATGGCCCTCAGGGACACACAAAACATTCCTCGTTAGAGGCCTAGAGAATGCACATCGTCAAGGTTAACTGTGGTCACACAGCCTTGGTACCAAAGGACACACTAGGGTTTCGTTGTTGTTCTTGTTGTTGTTTTAAACTAGATTTTGCTTTAAACTATTCCAAGAAAGACTGTCCTCTTAGACCGCAGTAAAAATGCCTCACAAAGCACACCTTGTGCATGGTCAGGGCAGGGACCTGGACAGAGATGAGGCAGAGGGGGAGAAGCCCCTCCTCTTCACAGAGAACTCCAGCAAGCCATGGCCCATTTCTAGAAGATCTTTGGGAGCAGGGGTGAGACACAGCCTTTGTTCCTTACCTCACAGAAGCAGGATGTGTGAAGCAAGGCCACCTGTGTGGACAGCACCATAAGGAAGCCCCTTGTTAACAGAGGTTTCTGTCCATCCAGGTCCAGTTGTTCAGTCCCAGAGAAATACACAGATGTCTACATTAATTATAAACTTGTTGGCCTATTAGCTCAGGCTTCTTATTAACTCTTCTTTTAATTTTTATTTAATTTAATTTATTTATTTATTTATTATATATACAGCATTCTGCCTGCATGTATGCCTGCACACCAGAAGAGGGCACCAGATTTCATCACAGATGGTTGTGAGCCACCATGTGGTTGCTGGGAATTGAACTCAGGACCTCTAGGAAAACAGCCAGTACTCTTAACCTCTGAGCCATCTCTCCCGCCCCTATTTATTTATTTATTTATTTATTTATTTATTTATTTATCTATCTTATTAACACTTATAATTTATATTTGTCATAATTCTTGTCTGTGTTAGCCACATGACTTGGTACCTTTTTCGGCGAGACAGTCACATCTTGTGTCAGGATGACGGCTGCAGACTGAGTCTTTCTTCTTCCCAGAATTCTCCTGTTCTCATTGCCCTGCCTCTACTTCCTGCCTGGCTACTGGCCAATCAGCATTTTCTTAAACAAGTACAAGAAACAAATCTTTACAGGGTAAAACCATTGTCCCACAGCAGCCGCTGTCCCCAGGGCCTGAGAACAGGGTGTGGCTTCAGTGGAAATTCCCAGCCAGGCTGGCTTCTGCCTCTACTCAGGGACCACCCCACTTCTGGGGAGTACCAGGTGTGTGTGTGTAGGTTAGAGGACAACTTTGTAGGCTCAGCCTCTCCTTCCACCTTTATGTGGGTTCCAGGGATCAAAGTCAGTTCCCCAGTTTGAACAGCAAGCACCTGCTGAACCCTCTCCCCAGCCTCCATTTGGCTTTGGCCTGGCTATGGGGCCCATGCTACACTGGGAGCTGCTTCCTACAACAACCACATGGTGGATGCAGCCCCAATAATAAAAACCCAAAGACAGATATAGGGGTTAAGTCTGAAGATCAGAGAAGCAGAGCAGTAAGCCACTAGAGAGACCTTTTACCTCTACCAATGCTCAGACCAAAGTGGGGTGATCCTCTAGAGAGCACTGTGTCTCCACCAAACCTCAGGCTCCACACTCCAGTTAGTTCCTGCCTCCTCTTCTTTATACATCTCTCTCCACCCAGCCATATCACTCCTGTCTCCACCTCTCTAAGTGCTGGGATTAAAAGTGTGTAACTCTCAAACACTGGGGTCTAAGATGTGAGCCACCACCACCTGGATCTGTTTCTGGATCGATCTTGTGTAGCTCAGGGGGGCCTTGAACTCACAGAGATTCGTCTGCCTCCTGTCTCCCAAGGGACTAAAGGTGTGTGCCACCACTCCCTGGCCTCTAGTGACTTAGCTTTATACTCTGATCTTCAGGCAAGCTCTTTTTATTAAAATACAAATAAAGTATCACAGGTGGGACTTCCTGTTTGGGGGTTTCACTTTTGTTGGAAATGGGCAGGAGGCAGGAGTCTGTGTGTCTGCATCTGTGCTCACACAGGGCCAATCCTCCCACTTTCCCTGCTTTCTCAGTCTCCCTGACTTCATCTTCCCCCCTCCTATGACTGCCAGGTCTGAAGTTTCCTCCCGACTGCCCAGACCCAGTGTCCTCAGGAACCCCCAGTGTCTATGCCCACTATGCCTGAGAATCCTTGGGGCCCATCCAAGCCTTTAGACTTCTGTGGAGTAGCTGGAAGGCTCATTTTCCTGAAGGACAGGAAGCCACCCTAGGGACAGGGATTCTGGGTTCTGGCCACACAAATGAACAACAGCATGGAGTTTTCCCCTACAGCCTTCTGCCAGCCTGTCCTGCTTGTGACTGTGTTTTCCCACCCTGCAGACTTTACTGTCTGTAAACATCTGAGGAAATTACCGACCCAATCAACAAGCTGCCTGCGTTTTCTGATTTTTTTTTTTTTTTTTTTTTTGTCCTTTTAGAGAATATGGTGGGAGAGGGAGGTATGACTCAGAGCTCTTACCTAGGATGTAGGAGGCCTTGGGTTCCATCCCCCCCCACACACACACACAAAAAAAATGTTTAAAAATAGCACATCAGTAGTCAGACAGCTCCGTTGATAAAGCACAGTAGGAAGACAGGATCCCGACAACTGTCAGGATTTGACTGTGCCGTCTTCTGGCGGGGACGTCTAACTGATGAGCACTCAGACTTCTGTCCCTCTGCCACAGCAAGAGTTCTCAGGAGTTGTCACACTGCCCAACTTTGCTTCCTGGTTCTGTGACTTAGGGAAGCAAAAACGTCTCTGGGCCTCAGTTTCCTCATCTGAGAAGTGGGAACGTAGTACCGTGTGTCACCAATGGGCGGGTGTATAGAAGTGATACTTGTTTTGTCACTCTGTGAGGCTCGGTCCTTCTGTGCTCACGGAACTATTCACTGAATCTGCCCTCTTGCGCGTTCTTTCTCCTCGATGACTCAGCAACAAACCCACTTCAATTACTCACCTGCCGGAACCAGTCTGACATACGAACTGGGACTCTCCAAGCATCCCGGGTGCTTTGACAACTTTGCTCTTAAGGGTGTCTTTCCTGACAGGTTTATAAATAGCATCAGGCTGATGAAGGGCCCTTGCATCTTGATAGATGGTAGGGGAGTGGGATCATGGCCCACTAGTCCATGTTTACATTCTCTTCATTGAGCGCCCCCCCCCCAAAATTAGAAAACCTGCCTGCTGTGGTTTGAGTGCCCTACAGCATACATGTGGGCATGCAATTGCTCTGATGACCGAGTGGAGGGGGACGCTTTAGGGGTGACGGTGTCACGTGAGCTCTATTGCGGACAGTAGATTAACATTGTTGTCCAGGAGTGAGGATGGTACCCTCCATGCCACGTCGCAGCAAGGAAGTTTTCACCAGGTACGCCCTCCTGACGCTGGACTCCCAGTCTACGGAACTGTGAACCAAACAAACGTCCAGTTTATACTTCACCTGGTCCACGGTATTTTTTTTTCCAGCCACAGGAAAACACAGTCCTTCCACTGTGAGCCATTCCCACCCCTGTTTGAGCAGCCCCCTGCCACCTCAATCCCTCTTGACCATGGTCCCCTTTGCTGTCACAGGTGTCTTCATCTCAGGTCCCTGTATCCACGGCTAAGAAAGTTCAGTGACCACACAGTTCAGTGGGGTCTTCCTGGAAAGTAGCTCACCCTTAGTCCAGAGCAGCATTTCTCAACTTGTGGGTCGTGACCCTTTGGGTCAAATGACCCTTTCACAGGGGATGCCTATGACCACGGGAAAACACAGAGATTTACCTTAGAATTCACAATACAAACAGTAGCAAAATTACAGTGATGAAGTAGCAACAAAATAATTTTATGGTTGGAGGGGTCAGCACAACATGAGGAAATGTATTGAAGGGGCACGGCATCGGGAAGCTTGAAAACCACTGGTCTAGAATGTTCCCTAATCCACTTCTTCCTGTGCGTTTCTTTGTAGACGGGTATGCCTTTTCCCAAGAAGAGCATGGCGCTGTCACCCAGGAGGAAATAGTCCGTGCTTACGACACCACCAAAACGAAGTCGAGGAAGAAATGAGGCGACTTTCCTGGATGGCTCCGGGGAAAGGGATTCTGTTTGGCGCAAGCAGTGCTAACGCGGCTTTGTCAGAGAGACTGGCGCCCACAGCCCAACACCAGAAGACACATTTCTGTGGCCTTAGCCGACCAGTTCGTTAGCAGCTGTCTTGTCCCCTTGCAGTCCCAGGGTGTAGGCATCAGGGGAAGCTCTACTCCCAGCTTGTCTGCCGTGCTTGGCCCAACTTCTGTTGACGGTGTTATGAAGCATTCAGCTGGGCTCTCTGAGGTGTGAAATTAAAAACTACGTTTCACCAATGCTCAAACATCAACGCTAGTGGTTCTGGGAGAAAGGAAGGGGGCATTATGTTACTAGAGACCAGTCCTGTGTAATCGGAACAGGGTACCCTTACTTCCTGTTCCGTGCATGTCCAGATCACACAAGCCTCGCTTTCTGCAGACTGCTCACTCACTTGGATTCCTGTTTTCTTTGCGTGAAGTCGGCATAAACTTCTTGATTACACCGAAATCAGAAAACCTTATGGTTGAAGGACAATCCCGAGAACATTTCTTTGGCTCTTTTGGCCCCAGCCCCAGCCTCAGCCAGGCAACTAGCCAGAATTCCACGCCTTCTGCACCGATTTTAGGTGCAGGCCTTCCGTCTTGCCATGGCCGCTCTGTGCTCTTGTCCGCAGATCTGCACAGCTGGCCCCTGGGTGTGGTGCCCCGCAGCTGGCAGCCCCCCATCCAGGTCCCCGGTGTCTTTGTTCCTCTCTCCATGCAGATGTGGAAGTCAGAATCTTCTTACCTAGCCTCATCTGCCTGCCCTGCCCTGCCCCGCCCTGCCCCGCCCCGCCCCTCCCCACTGCTGCCCTTGAGCTCTGTGGCTGAAGAGAAGTGTCTGAACCACACCTGGCCTAACACTTAACTGTCTTTTTTGAGGGGATCCTGTGGGAAGGGGAACAGGCCCTGCATATCACTTCTGAGCTAGTCCTCTGGCAGCCTCTCAGAATCGATACCTGCCTCTAGATGCTCAAAGCCCATTTTAGGCTTTCCACCTCTGTGCACTGAAGGGACAAAACTGGCACTCTGAAATTCTAGAATCTGGGTGAGCTTAGGGTGGGGGGTAAGCATAGGGCACCCCATCTGAGATCTCGCTGGAAGGTGACCAAGGACACCTGACTCAGGAGGCAGACACGAAGGCCGTTTTCACCACATCGCAGTGGAAGTTCTCAAGTCCTACTTTTGATGGACAGTTGTAATGATCAGTCCATGTACGCTGTCGTGGAAACCAGACCTTGTCTTGCAGACATTTTGTCTAGTTGATTTTTTTTAAGAGTCTTACACTGTATGCCCAATCTAGCATTGAATGCACTTTGTAGTCCAGGCTAGCCTCAGACTCTCAGCAACCCTCAGCCTCCCGCATATTAGGGTTATAGGTGTGAGTTACCACGCTCGGCACCATACACATCTAAGAAAAACAATTCCAAGCATCGTCAAGATCATAACTTTTAAAAATAGTCACGTGGTCTCCTTTCTGTATCCGGCAAGTTTTAGGCCCAAGGGCCTCTTTCTGGACAGTGACTTGGTCTCTCAAACAAGGAAGGGAAGTGCCTGTTCCAAGCTTGGGCCACTACAGGCCTGGATGCTCCAAGCCTGCATGCGAGAAAATGTGGGCCGGCCTCAGCATGCTTTTTTCCCTTTATTTTGGCTGCCGAACCGGAGTTTGTGGATGGCTTAAAGTAAATACCCCTGGGCAGTTGTTACCGGGTGAACTGGTACCATACCACCAGGGGTGTATGCTAGCTTAGAAAATAAGGCAGCATTGGGGGGGGATGGCTGAGCAGTCCAAGATGCTGCATTCAGAAAGAAGAGATGCTACACTTTGCTTTACTTAACGCTTTACTTTTGGAACATCAGAGATGAATGGGCACCAAAAAACAAGCAAACAAACAAAAAACTTGGTTATGATTTGAGTAAGAAAACTGATTCTCACTTAGGGCGTGGCCAGGATGCTGAGATGGCTTGAAGGGAGGCAGAGTGGTACAGTTAAGGAAAATCTTGCAAATGACCTCTCTTTGCTCCCTGAGGCAAGAAAAAAACCTAGCATGCCCAGCAAGCTGGAATCCTGACAGACTGTACCATGTGGGAGAAACAGCAGGAAGTGTGCCTCAGATTGGGGGGGGGGGTGCAGCCATGGTGTACATTTTACCCAGAGGGGTGGGGGCAGAACTGTGGGGAGCAAAGGAAAACCAACAGGATGTGCCCGAGGCTCTTTGCAAGTTTTTTTTCCTCTCTTTATTTCGTCTGTTCTTTCTCTTTATTTCTTTCAACTTTAAAGGCTAGATTTATTTGAAGGAAAAAAAAATACACAACAAACCCTCAACCCTAAGGATGGGATTTTACATCTCAAGACATCCCCCAAGTAATGTCTACAGATTACAAATAATTTTCATAGAAGATATCTTTGCACAAGTTTTGATGTATTCAGGAACGTGTAAGTTGACCCCTGATTTTATTTTAACAGAGGAGCAACATAGGAGAGTGGGCATGGTGGCTTCCTTTCAGATGCCTCTGTCCGGAAGGGAATTAGACATGAAGAGGGCTAGTTACCTCTTCATTGTTCACACCCGATGGGTTTTTACCCATTCAGCTGTGGGTACCTCTCCAAAAGCCTACTTCCTAGCTATGGCCAATCAAGCCCGCTGGATAAGTTCTTGCCATGCCCACTGATGCAGCCCACTAAACCAACGCTCCTGCTCAGCAAGCCCAGGGCTTACACGTTAAGGCCAAAGTCTCATTTGTCTGCAGGGGCCCTGACTTACTGCAACAGGAAAACCTGCCGTCTTCGGAGCTGACCTCTACAAAGGTGCACAGCAATGCAGATAGGTCAAGCTACTGTGTTGCAAGAGAAGCCTTATTCAATAGTTCTTTGCATTATCCTCTATTCTTTTTTATTTGTTTATTTTATTGATCTCTACATTTTTCTCTGTTCCCCTCCCTGCCTCTCCCCTCCCCTTCAACCCTCTCCCAAGGTCCCCATGCTCACAATTATCCTTAGCTTCTTGAAGGAGGCTAAGAAACCAACCCTCTCGAGCAGAAAAACCTCACAACATAGGTCACCTTATAAACCCAAGCACTAGCATGGGCGCCCATGAAGGAAACTTACAGAAACCTTAAACCACCCCAGTCAAGGCTGAAGGCCTCCAACTTCATCCTCCTCGTTTATACACCCCTAGTCACCATGCATGTCCATCATTCGGAGGAGTACTCTGACCTCCAAGGGTAGAGAAGTGAAGCTCCAGGAACAGGCTGACTGGGGGCAGGGTGGGAGCAGAAGTCAAAGACATCACAGAGCTGGTTCACTTGAGAGAAACAGTGATTTCCTCAGACCACAGCTTCTGGTGCCCAAGATAACAGGCCTGTGAGACCAGGTGTGTGATTTACAGAGACTGCTTTGGGGAGGCTGACGCTGTCATTAGGGACATGAGGTGACCAGAGGGATAAGGTTTTTAAAGAATGTGGACATATTTGAAAGTTTAGACAGGGCAGTGTTTAGAAGGGGCGAAACAGGATGTGCAAGACTAGTTTGATTTGCCCTTGAATGCTCCAGGGCAGAGAGACGAGGAGAAAGCACAGGACGTGGAGGTCTACTCAGTGTGGTTTCCTCTCTCAATTCTGTCTTCACCATCCATGGAGGGAGAAGCATTCTTGCTTGCAGAACTGAAGTTGGAGGCTGGATTCTCAAATATCTTTTGCTGGGGCAGATCCGGAGTCTTGAGTCTTTTGGCCAGCTTTCCTCTCCAACTCATCCCCGTGGTCCTTGTTTTCTCCATCCCTAGGACCACAACTGGAGTTCCCACTTTGGCCTTTGGGACCTCACCCCCATCTACTTTGCTTTCTTCTTTCCTTGCTGCTCCTTCCTCAGAGGGCTGAGCCAGAGCTACTTTCTCTCTGTCGCTGTGTCTGAGCTCTGTGTCGAGCAGGAGGGTTAGAGCATCGCTTTCCCCGCGCATTCTCCTTTGGTAGAGGGGCGGATATTACCTTTAGAGGCCAATCAATTTAGGAGGTTTAGAGACTGGAAAATGGCAGTCTTCTCTATCGAATGGTTCATTTTCGAGAGCCTCTTCTTTGTGTTATTTCTACCAGATGTAACTGCAGCCCCGGTCTGCCGTGACTCGCTTCCTATCCTCAACTGTTGTCTTTCTTGAGCTTCTTCATTTGGCCCACCGATGTCTCTCCTGGGGTCGGCCATTTAGTTTTGGTTCGTCCAGCTGTTGCTGCAATGTCTCCTGCCCCTTCCATAGCCCCACCCCCTTCTACTTTTCTTCTCTAGCAGCTGTGACAACAGGCTTTGCCCTTCCAAAGATAGAAGCTGCTCAACTCTACTGGGAGGTACTAGCATAGGAAGCATCTTCCTTGGGAATATTCCAAGGCTTTCGATTCAGTTTGGGGTTGGGGTTGGGGTTCTGCCATCATGCCAATAATCATCGTGGGGCTCTATGACCAACAGTCCCATCTGTCATACCTGTCATAACAGTCCCCACCTTCTCTGTAGTCAGCAAGCCTACAGTACCCACTAACGAATTCTCTTCTGCCACTGCCTATCCTGCAGTCATAGCCTTGGTCATCATAGTGATCCTGGCCTCCAGAGCAATATCCACATCTCAGCATGGGCCATCCTAATACCCGTCTGAAACCCATCCTGATTCCGCTCTGAATCGTACCGATCTCAACACTTGATCTCAACACTTGTCTCCCAAGTTATCGTCACCTCTTCTAAATGGGTACTCCTCAAAGCCATCTGCAGCAGGATGGGTCCTCTGGTCTGTGTTTTGTTAGATACCTAAATTTCTGTCTTGACCCAAAGAACGATCATCCCTGTCTTTGTCCAGGGCTTGATCAGCAACTCATTTGAGTTTTCCCCTGTTACCTAGAGACACAGAGCACTGAGCAGATCGCCCAGGTTCTCACACTCGGCATAGCCCAACCTGTTCAACCTGTCTGGATGGCTGGGTTCACATGACGCAAGTACCACACTGGTATTTCATCCTCTAAAGAACTCCGTATAGAATCTTCTGTAACATCACAGGGCAGGTTCCCTAGGAAAACAGTGCAGGGTGGCAAGTTGGGAAGACAGTTCTGGTGGGTGTTTGGTTTCTGAGCAGCCTGCGGAGCAGTGGAGAGGACGGAATGGTTGGTTGGAGGTGCCCTGTGTGTGCCATCATTGGTACCATGCACGTCCTTGACACCTCTCCGGATCATCTGTTATATCAGCCCAGCTGGTGGTTTGGAGACATAGCTGCTTCCGCCAGCCATCCTCAGCCAGAAAGTCTGTTAGAAAGATGGGCCTCCCCTTCTGAATTTTCTGTTTTGCTGAGGCCACCATGTTGGGGGCTGGAGTGGGTGGGGAAGAGCAGAGTCAAAATTCATTTTCATTTGAGAACTAAACCCATTTGGAAAGATGGAATTAAAATTCAGCTTTTTGTCAGATACTTAGCCCTCTCTTGAGCTTGAAGGCTTTTAAACCAGATTAGTGAATGAAAGTCTTTGTTTGGGTCCTTTGTTTGTTTGTTTTCTTGTCTTTTGACTTTATGCTATGTTGTGTATTTTTCTGGAGCGTATTTTCTTCCTTTGAGAAGCAGACTAAACATTCTCTGCACTAAACTGTCTCTGCAGTAATGAGGTATACAGGCAGGAGAAAACATTTCTGGGAGGGATTGTTTTCTATTTTTTTTTTTTTCTGTCCTGATTAAGCTTTCTCCTAGCCGAATGACTAAATTGGGTTTCTAGGCAAAGCAGCTGTCATGGTGTGTGATGTATACTATTTCTGCAGGGCCCACTGGGGAGCCGGGTCATTTGGGCTATCTTTAAACTGAGGTCAGAATGTCTCATACACAACCCCTCCCTGGGGAACAGAGTGGCTGTCAGTTCAGTGGAGATGTCATGTGGCTCATGACACTCCTGTCACATAGCTGGGGCTCTTGAGCTGGCAGGTCACATTTGGTCAGCATTTCCGGAACTGCCCCGGGTTTGCTAAGATGGGGCTGGGGCTGGGGCCGCTCACAGAGGTTCTTATGTATGGCTCGATCCTGTACTTGAAACTGTAAACAGTACAGCCACTGTCCCTTGGCTTAGTTCTGGGTTCTGCCGCTCTTTTCACAGCCGCAGGGATGATTGCCGAGAGGACAGCCCACACTATAATTGGAGGTAATACCCTGCTCAAATCTACCGGGCAGCCTGGCAACACCGCCTAGCTGGTCAGGGTCTACTGTGTGCTACTCCAGGAAGCAGAGCTGATGTATCTGCTCTGTCTTGGTGCAGAATCTTCCAGATTTCTGGGTCAGTGTTAACTTTCCCCAACTCCCCACATTCATGCAAACTCAAGGACAAAGGTGTGAGAGCGAGGTATAAACTGCTCTGGTGAAAAGTGACGCTGCTTCTTCAACATAAAGAGAGAGAAATGTACCAGCCGGTGACCCTGGGCTCTGGCAGAGCCCAGCTGGGCATTTGCTTTTCTTTGCCAAGCCTTCAAGTATGCCCAGGGAAAATCAATGGTGGCTAATCAAGAAGCAGTGAGTGATTTGGTTGTTGTTTTGAGATAAATTCTTAGGTCACCCAGGCTGGCTTTGAACTCACTATGCAGCTGAAGCTGCCCTTGAACATCTGACCCTTTTTTTTGCCTCCTTTGTGTTTTATGGAACGCTTGTGTGGCTGTGCTGGGGATGGAACTCAGGACCTTGTGATAGCTAGGCTGGTGTTTGCCGTTGAGCCACATATGTTCCCAATTGGTGAATGTTTTTGTTTGTTTGTTTTGTTTTTTAAGCGAAACTAGGTAATGAGAGTCTGAAAATGTAAAAGGATATGTAGGCTTTCAGGCAATTTTTTTTTAAAATAAAGAAAGCTATCCTGTATAATCTCTCATTTGTTATCATAATGAGCCTTTCTTTTGAATCATGAGGACCCTTTCCCGTCAGCTCATTCTGTCTGTGTGTATGCCTGAAGGCCAGAAGAGGGCACCAGCCCTCATTACAGATGGTTGTGAGCCACCATGTGGTTGCTGGGAATTGAACTCAGGACCTTTGGAAAAGCAGGCAATACTCTTAACCTCTAAGCCATCTCTCCAGCCCCCGTCAGCTCTTC